GAACGCAGTCTGTTATTATAGGGGGCATTATATCTTTTTAACCGGTTTCCATGAATCCTCTTCTTAAGAACTCGTTCACTTTTGATGGGCTTATTATTTAAAATGGGCTTTATCATTCTTAATTTATAAGATCCATTGCCACATACTTCGTGTATATAGTAGGGACCTGTAAACTTTGACTCAAGCTTGGGCTATATGACGTATCTAAAGAAGTCTCATGCAGCATTACTTTATCACCAATTTGGTAAGTCTCAATCCAGTATTTCTGATCATGATGAGCCTTTTGTTTGTTTTGGGTTTTTCTAATATTTTCTTGGGCTTGGTTTCGGGCATCTTCCAGGTTTCCTAGAACAGACTCAATTCTTCGGAAAAGATAATCTTGGGTCTCAGCTTTGGTAGTTGGCTCAGCTGGATATGTTATTACAACTGTCTCGACCGGTAATATAGCATCGCGGCCATAGACTAAAAAAAAAGGGCTCATACCGGGTAGTATGGTTCCGGGTAGTTTGATAAGCGAACAATGCCGTTGAGATAAATTCAGTCCATTTCCCATCATATTATCCAATACATTTGGCCAGTACTTCACATAAAGTCCTATTAAATCTTTCCACCATTCATTGGTTTGGGGATGGTAAGCGGTGGATATGCAATGGCGAACTTTTATCTGTTTACAAATAGCATCCACTAGTTTATTACAAAAGTGAGTACCCTAATCAGAGAGTAGCTCACAGGGACTTCCGTGGCGGCATATTATATCATCCAAAAAAAAAGAGGCAACAGATTCAGCATCAGCACTTTTAAGTGCATGGGCCTTCGGCCACTTGGTAAGATAATCTGTGGCTACAACCATATAACGATATCCTTCTGGTGTTTCTGGAAGTGGATCTACAATATTGATGCCAATCCTTTCATCAGATGCAATAGTTCTTGAGTCTTAGGCCTCCCTCATCTTTGACTTGTTTCGCAAGCTCCAATATATCGTTTTATATCGTTCCCCATCTGGGGCCAATAATACCTAATCATTATTCATTGATAAGTTCCTTTATATCCAAAATGTCTGGCTAAGGGGTCGGCATGCATAGCATGTAGTATAGGTTTGATTTCATGAGGTTTTAGAACTCTTTGAGGCCTCTCAGGATCACGTGGGTTGATTTTATATAACAATTACTTCGAATGAAGTAATGCCGGGTTTTGTGTTACAAGACTTTATCACTATAGTTAGGGGTACCCTAGACCTGCTAAGATATTCTGTAAAAATTTTATATGTTTCTAAATCCATAAATGTCTGTCTAAATCAAAATGGGTTTTCTGTAATCGGCGTCGGTATATCATATTTAGAGAGAAAAATTTATATGATAGGCCTTTAGCTCATAGCCTTAAATTTGAGATAAACTATCGGCGTTAAGATGTAATTTTTCTGACTTATGAATGGTGGTGAATGAATACTCCTGCAAGGTCAGGATCCACCTGCCAGTCTGTTTTGGGGTAACCGGTGAGAGAATAATGATTTCAATGCCGAATAGTCAGTATAAAGGGTAAAATGAGATCTGTGAAGATAAGACCTAAAGTACGAGACTACCCAGACTACAGCAAGACATTCTTTCTTAGTGATGGCATAATTACTTTCTGCTGGTGTTAAAAAATGGCTTGTATACACCACAACTCTTTCCTTGTGGTTAGCATCTAGTTGCGAAAATATGGCCCCTAAGGCTAGGTCTGAAGTGTTTGTGAAAAGAATAAACAACTTAGCAAAATCTGGATAAGCTAGTATAGGAGCAATTACCAATTTTTCCTTGAGCTTCTCAAATGCTTCTTGTTGCTTTTGTGTCCAACGATAAGCCACGTTCTTTTTTAACAAGGCATTTAGTGGCCCGGCAATATTGGTGAACCCGGGAACAAATCGTCGGTAGGATACCAACTCCAGAAACCCCTGTAATTGTCTCAGGTTCCTTGACATAGGGAATTCTTAGACAGCCCGAATTTTATTAGGGTCTGTTGATATACCTTGGGCACTTACAACGTACCCTAGAAATTTAAGTTTTCTTTTACAAAGGAAACACTTTTGAGGCTTAATCTTTAAATTAGCCTTCCTTAATCTCTCTAATACCTCTTGTAAATGGTCCAAATGTTCCTCAAAGACTTTGGAATAAACATTCAAGTCGTCAAAATATAAGACGACAAATTTTCCAATTATATCACTAAAGATCTGATCCATCAACCTTTGGAAAGTTGCTGGGGCGTTCATAAGACTAAAATGCATTATGTTAAACTCAAAAATGCCTTGGTGAGAAATAAAAGCGGTCTTGGGTTTATCTTCTTCTAACATTTCAACTTGCCAGTATCCACTAGCAGGATCCAACGTAGTAAACCACGACGATCTATTTAAGGAGTCCAAAAGCTCATTTACTCTTGGTAATGGATAATTATTCCTTATGGTGACAGCATTGAGTTTTCAGTAATCTATACAAAGATACATCTTTTGGGCCTTTTGTTTCATGAGAACTACAGGCGACATCCAGGGACTTTTGGAAGGTCTAATAATATTTTCGGCTAATATAGCACTTACTTCTTCTTTTAAAAATTCTTTTTCGGCCAGAGAATATCAATACAGACGTTGTCTAATTGGCCAGACGTCTCTGGTGGGAATTTGATGACAAATGACGCTACTTCTTTCCAATTCGTTAAGACTTCGGGCACTGAGATCAGAGTACTCGTCTAGTAGTAGTCATAGTTGACTTTGTCAATCTTCGTCCAAACTTCCAATCATATATTCTATCTCTATTGGTCTTTTGTTTTCGTAATAATAATCAAAAAGGTCGGAAGTAGTTGTAAATTCCTTCAACTGAGAATCTAAATACGTTACCGGCTATAGGCCTTGATAATTGTCCTTTTCCTTATTTTCTTGATTCTTATCTTCTTCTTCCCACAATAATTCACTATTACTA